CGCCCCCCCTTCCGAAAGGGGGAAGGCCAGCCCGCCCCCCGCGGCCGCCGGGTTTCCGCCGCCCTCGGGTTTGGAGGGCGTTTTGCCAGGTTGGTTCGCTGGCGCCGGGGTGCGGGAGGGTGCGGTGATTGTTGTTTCCTTGGGGTTGTTGTGCGGGATGTGCCCCTCTTCCGGTTGGCGGTGGTGGGGCGGTCGGGGTGTGGGCCGGGCTCGTGTTTTTTGTTGCACCATTCTGTGGTAGATGTGTACTGGTGTGGGCTTTTCGTGTTTGAATTCGTATGTTACTTGGAAATATTCATTTGGTGTTGAGAACTTTATGATTTGCTTTTTTGCAGAGTGCGTTGGGTTCTACCCACCCACTGAATGGGGTCTCTGCACCACCGGTCGCGCATACGAAGCTATAAAGCTGGATGCTGTTTTTTCTTTTTTGTTTCCTGTTTCAATCGGATGCCTTCATCGCACCAATCATTTGGTTATACTTTACGAAAGAAAATGAATTGCGGTCTTCTTAATTTAGAACTTTGTTTTTACGGCCTAACATTATCCTTCTGACGATTCGCTTTTATAATAGTGATGCTATGCATCCAAGCGGAATTATTTTCATATCTGATGGTTCTAGCATGTTAACCGATTTCCTTCAATTCCTTTGGTATGTAGTGAACTCATTGAGCCATTTTTACCATAAAGATTTTTTTTTTTCAAGCGCAGGCTGACAACAGAATATTTGTCTTATAAGCCACAACAATGGAAAAGCTGCCGTTCCTCCGTTTTTNAAAAAAAAAACCATTGTTCAAAAAATAATAAGAAGTGCTAAAGGAAATTCCAGCTTTTATGCAATGATGACTTTATGTGGGCTAAGTGAAATAAAGCTATCCAGTTGATGGTAACAGATGTCGGAACAGGGCAACAGGTGACCCTGCTCTTATGCTGGATGTTTTTTCAGTTACCCTTTTGGGTGTACATCAAAAATTTTGTGTCTCGTGGTGGTTTTTTTTTTCCAATCCTGCTTAGCAATAGCCACCAAGAAAGAAAGAAAGGCCTAATGTCAGATTCGTCGAACACGAAGACCGCTTGTAGAGTGACGTATATCTGGCTCTGCGGCAAGGATGCTCACCATGACATCCGCAGCAAAGACCGTACAATGTACCTAACGACCGAGGAAATGGCGAAACACCCCAAGGAGCTCCTTGCCGAGGGTCTTTTCCCAGTGTGGAACTTTGATGGCTCCTCAACAAATCAGGCACAAGGACAAGATACCGAAATCCTTGTCAGGCCTGTAAACGCATACCACTGCTGCATTCCCCGTCCCTCATCGACAATTCCGTGGATTCTCGTACTAGCTGAGTGCTTTGTACCCAGCGGTGAGCCAACAGCGGATAACTCTCGTGCTGTGGCGCGTCGCATATTTGAGCAGCGACCGGAGGAGCACCCGTGGTTTGGAATGGAGCAAGAGTTTTTCTTGGTAAAGGGTGGCCGTCCTTATTCCTGGCCCGCAAACGGGTTTCCTGCTCCTCAGGGCCCATATTACTGTTCCACAGGTTCCTTGGTTGCGCCTGGACGAAAGTACATTGATCTGCATTATGAGGTGTGTCTGCAGATGGGACTTAATGTTTCTGGGACGAATGCTGAAGTGGCGCTTGGACAGTGGGAATTCCAGGTTGGTCCCTGCGAGGGTCTGGAAATGGGTGACCAGTTGACGGTGGCACGTTGGGTGCTTTTGCGGATTCTAGAGGCCGATGAGTTGGACGTAGACTACCATGCGAAGCCCATCCGAGGCGATTGGAATGGCAGCGGACTTCATACCAATTTCTCCACTGATGCGACCCGTGCTGAGAATGGATTGGATGTGATTTACACGTACATTGAGCGGCTGAAAAAAACGGTGTATAAGGACATTATTTTCTATGGTGCTGAAAATAACGAGCGTCTCACGGGAACACATGAGACTTCGAAGGCGGATGTGGTAACTGCTGGGGTGGGCACGAGGGGGACTTCTATTCGAATTCCAAACTCTGTTGCCGCAGAGGGTAAGGGGTATATGGAGGATCGGAGACCTGCCGGAGATGCTGACCCTTATCTCGTATCGTCGCGACTCTTTGCGTCTTGTATTGGTCTTGATACTCCGGAAATGGATGATGCGTCGCCTCTTCACGAGAAACATTGGATGAGGTTTGACTCGAAATAACCTTAGTGTAGGGAAGTCGTAGTGAAGAAATGTGCTGTGTGAGCAAGGAGTGTTAGGCTTTTTCTGTTTGCTAACGATCATTTTCAGAGTTTAAAATGAATATTACCGTGCATATCTGTAGGGTTTGACTTTCGATGTGGCACGCCATTGATAGATTACCATTAGTTTTTATATTTTTATCGTGACAGACACGTGTTTTTTGTTGTATTTTTGGCACTAATGGGCTAGTAAAAGCCGATTATAATATTAACGCGTTCAGTTGAACCAACGCCATAAATAATACCCTGGAAATCAATTTCCGGTGGAGGGGGTTTGCGTTGTCTGCATGCCTGCCGGGTTTTTGTTTTCTTTGTGAGTAGTCTCTCCTTGAATCTACTCAAGGTGTAGTGCTGATGCGAGGAACTGATGAATTTCCTGCTGCTGAGGACGGTTCCGCATTACTTCAAACGGTAATACCGTCGGCGGATGCTGGCGTGAGACGTGGACGTAAAAAGAAGAACAAGAAAAAGGCGCTTTATGACCAGTATCTTGCAGATTCAGGCAGTGAATATTCCTCCGAGGTCAGTGAAGGTCCAGACGGAGCCTTGAATGCGTACGAATGCGAGGAGTTTGTGCCGGGTATGGACATCAATATACTCATCCAGCAGACAGTGCAGAACGTCGTGCAAAGCGTCAGTCTGGAGGATTACGATGGCCTGTCACAGTTTGGAGACTACGATCTAATCTGTTTTAGTGCTGCAGTAAAACACAATAGTTCCATTCTCTCACTTCAGATAAGGTATCTTGACGTTTCGGACACGTCACTTGTTTCCCTTTGTCGCGCGTTGGAGGGACATCCCAGTATTCGGGCGTTGGACCTCTCCGGCACGCGAGGCGGAAATGCGACAATCAAAGCTGTTTTTCGCCTTGTTTGCACAAACCCGAATATTCTCTTTGTTCGTTTAGACGATACGATGGTGGCCCCCCAGGATGCAGATGAGATACGGGTGACAATTGCCTTTCGCACATGTACGCATTGTTTTTGTTAAAAAGTAGTTTGGCTTGATTGCATGTGACGGTAGTCTAATCCATAGTCCTTTTTACGGATTTGGGGTTTTGTTTGCTGTTGTGTTGCTGTATTATTTTTACACTTTGTTCATGGAAAAGGAATATGCAAATTAGCTTTTGGGTCTGGCTGTAGACAACTTACATCGTCATATTTGCGCAAGGTTTATATATTTTTTGTGTATATCACTCCCTTTGAGAATATAATGTGTTGTGCGAAGGTGCTTCCAGTGTTGTTTTCGTTGTAGTAATAGTTTTCGACATTTGGAACGAATCTCACTGGAATTTGCTTCACCTTTGCCATTGTTGTTCTCAGCCAGAATATTGGAATAACTGCAAAAACGGGTGCCGTAGCCACAATAGTATTCTACAATATAAGATAGTGTTTCCATGGGTTGCTTGGATCAGAGGCCGTTCTTTTATTTAAAAAAAACCACTGTTCAAAAAATAATAAGAAGTGCTAAAGGAAATTCCAGCTTTTATGCAATGATGACTTTATGTGGGCTAAGTGAAATAAAGCTATCCA